GTTGTGCATCTTGGTTGTTTTTGGTGAACTCTTTTCTCGGTGTACTAGTTTTCTATTCATAAAAAACATTCTCTCTTCCAAGTGGGAATATTTCAACATGAGATTTCTCTACCTATAGTCCGAAGAACTTTTCTTCTATGGAATAAGTGAGTCATTTCAACTAGTAGTTGTCAATGGATTAGTATAGTCAATTTGGTTCTTCAGTTTTTCTGTCTTTAAAAGTATGGGGAGTTCAGAAAGATTTCCATTTTGTCTCAAGAAGCTCTGGAATAGGGATGTGAGTAATATCAAGATATGGATGGGCAATCTAAACAAGAGCTTGAAAGGCAAAAAATATTTTTGATTTGCAGTTTAAGAAGTCTTTTTGCTTTAATATCCAGCTTTTAAATGGCAGAAGCAAAACAAGTCTCTTTATTCCATTCCTGACATGAAGAATGTATGTTTACCGTTGAAATGTGAAGTAATTATCCTAAGAAGCTTCTGTTTGAGAATCTGTGTTCTATGGTCTAATTATTCTCAGAGTTGAAGAATAATTAATGTAATGCATGATGTGTGTCTATGATTGTTTTCAGATCAATGCCTGAAGTCATTTTTGAACTGCACTGTTTAGAAATACAATTGAATGCGTTCTGACAGGAAAAAAATGTGCTTTCGTCCTTACTTTCATGAATATCAACATGCCTCCCCCTCTTTCTTTCCTACAATGTCTGTCAGCAAACCACCAATGCATCTTTATCCAGGTACTTAATGATGGAAAGATGATGACATATGTTGATTGCACAAACTAAGGTCTTTGGTGAGCTTCTAAGAACATTGGTACTGGAACAAATATGTGACAGTCGTTTCTATACAGTCATTCTGTTTTATTTCATATAGTTCCGTCTATCTCAAACGCATCTCAGCTCCTGGGATGATTTATTGATGGCTTTCTAAAAAAAAACAACCAAGCACCACCCCTCCAAAAGGAAGCTACTCAGGGCAGCCAAAATATTGATATAAGTCTGCCTAAAACCACAAACTATTATTTGTGAAAATTACATACAGCACCTTCAGGCAATGATCGTCCAACTGAGAGGGTGACAAATATGTTTACAGTACATAAAGCTTCATTCTCAATTGCACCTGATAACAAGCTACTGTTGCTCTTAGAAAGGAAAACAGGGCTTTGCTAGTTTAAGATAAATGAGAACAGATGCTGAGGAAAAATGGCACTTCACTGTGGTTATAATGACAGATTAGAAGCGATCCAAATCTAAAAACAATTCTCAAACTGCGTTCAGCATTAATGTTTCTTCCCCTGAAAAAATTGTCCTCGGATGCACTGTATGTAAAAGAAACCATGGGGTGGGAACCCATCTATTCCTTTCCTGGGAACAGAATCCACATTTTGGCAAGTTTGCTTTTCAAAATGTTGCCGTGCAATAGGAAGCTGACTTATTGAGCCTTGTTATCCCTTAAGCAAGCTTTAGACAGGCCTAAATGAATACACTTTGACAGAATTACCCTGGATTTACTTTGACGTAAATGAAACAGGCATGATGCTCAATATCGTACAGAAACCTGCTAGATGGAAAAGGCAGGAGAAGCGGGAGGGCAATCCCTGTAAGCTTACGGCACCATGCCTGGATAGCACCGTACAAGTAAGCTTGCACTACCTGAGAAGCGCTGTGCACAAACATGTTGCAGAGAAAACTAAAGCTGAAATGCTTCTGCTCACATTTGTTGGCTCAACAGTACACACCTGCCTGTGGCTGCCACCCCAAAATCCCTCCCAGCATTAGCCATTTATGGACAGGGAGTTTTGCTTAAACATTTTCTATCCCCTTTTTGGAACAAATGAGGGCCCTCAAAGTGGTTTACTGTATTTTTCGCGCCATAAGATGCACCTGACCATAAGATGCACCTAGTTTTTAGAGGGGGAAAAATGCAAGAAAAAAAAATATTTAAAGGGAGTGCTGAGCAGAGCCTGTATGCATCCCAGGCTCTGCTCAGCGCTCCCTTTCATGAGCCGCGTGGTGCGTGTTTGCGGCTCTTGGGGGCTTTTCCCCGAGGAGGGAAAAGGGACTGACGGGCCGCATCAGTCCCTTCTCCCTCCTTGGGGAAAAGCCCCCAAGAGCTGCACACACGCTAGGTGCGGCTCATTAAAGAGCGTGCGGCTCTTGCGGGCTTTTCTACGAGGTGGGAGAAGGGTAGCCCGTTAGTGACTGCCCTTCTCCCACCTCGGGGGAAAGCCCGCAAGAGCCGCACTCCCTTTAAAGAGTGTGAGGAGCGTGTGTGCAGCTCTTGGGGGCTTTTCCCGCCTGCCTTCCACCTGCATTCGCTCCATAAGACGCACACACATTCCCCCTTACTTTTTAGGAGGGGAAAAGTGTGTCTTATGGAGCGAAAAATGTGGTGCATTTAAAAAAACAACAACAGAAAAAAGAAAGCAAAGTGAAACAAAACACAACCAAGTACCAAAAGTTAAAATTAAAAATTTATAATAATCACAAGCTGATTAGAAAGGCTGAAAAAGAACAAAGTAAGGCCCCCAACCACCTTCAGTTATAGGCAGGGCCAGTCTGGTACGAGAGGGATGACTCCTCCCACTGGAGACAAGGCAAAAGGCATATTAAAATTCAACAATACGTTTTTCATAAAACACTGAGAAATTCAACAGCATTATCGGGGAAACTGATATTTTGTTACTTTCTTCTTTACTGCAAACATTTTTGAATAGACAAACAGAAACAACAGCGCAGCTAATAATTATTGCTAGTACATAAAGGATAATGGAAACAAACTCTTCCAAGCGTAACTGTTAAAAATCCATATGTAAGACTTCACACTGCTTGCATAACCTCTTTGCATCACAAATTTCAGTTGACAGTACTGAGCCATGAAATAAAACCTTCAAAAACTCTTGTGGGACGTGCTAGTTTAAATCCTCTATTCAAACTAGAAAGCTGTGAGAAGGATGTGTCAGGCCAGTAAAGAAAGGTTCCTTGGCAACTTGGCTTTGAATGTTACTGTAAGCCTAAAGACATTTATTGAAAGTCAGGGTTCACTGAAAAACTTGGGACTCTCGTCTATAGAAAATTTGTTTAAGGGTCCTTTGATGACCACCCTCTATCCACCCAAAGAGACAGAAGCCTTTGAATTCGAAACACTGGTAAAAGTTGGAAGCTAATTGAAAATCTATGTTGGGAACCAGCAATCATCAAGGAAGCCTCAAGACTACTACTTCCTGATCAGGAACTATTCCCTCGCCCTAATATTTCCCACTTACGGTAATGTATGAAGTTGGAACTACTAGCTGTGAAGTATTACCACCTGTCTGCCTGATCCATGGGGGTGAAAACAACAGCGCACAAGGGAGTTTCATAAAACAACAGTTGTCTTTAACACATCCATAGTTCCACAGAACCATGGACTCCAAATACATTTTGATGAGTCAGAGAATATTCCATGCACAGTCCCCAATACAGTAGTGAATACCGCAAATAGTTCTCAGAGAGAACCCTGTATGAGGACCAGAATCTGCTGGACCCCCCGACCAAAAAAAAAATCTTCCATACTGTCCTCAAATTGTGTAGCATTTCTGATGTATACTACTAATGGTGAAAATGGGGAAGTTTTGACAGCAAAACATTAGGAACTCTCAGATTTTCCTAGTGGTACTAGGAACGTTGCGGTAGATATATGTTAATATGGGAGCTTGGGCAGAACACACAATCAGTTATAATTACTCTGTAATACAAGTAAGATAATTCCTTCTAAAATCTCCTGCAAATGTAATATGATGACCCAGGACTTCCATACACACTGCCCAGGCTTTTGCCCTGAGGAGGTCACTTTGGTGCTGCTAACACAGCTGTTTGACTTCACCCCCAGAGACACACTCCACTGTGTCGCGAGACTGATGGATGTCAACACCACAGTGACTTCTCTGCATCAAAAAAGGATTGCCCTACGTTTGTTGCTACTAGGGAGCATAACCATAACAGCCAACATTATTACCTGACTGATGAACCTATTAAAAGAGAAGGATTCGTTCAAATGGGTCTAGGCCCTTAGAGCCTGTAGTTGCTGTTGCGCGTAGGCGCATCCATCCCATTTTATATAGACTTTCTTTTCTAATCAGGTATATACAAGGAATGACAATTTTAGGCCCATCCAATTGACACATGCTCGCTGATGTGCGGGTCCTTTCGGACCTGGAAGAAGGCAGAATGGGGGTGAAATGGGGGTGGGACAGGGGAGGGGCAGAGCACGCTTATGCATGCTCTACCGACATGTGTGGGGGACAGGAACAGAATCCCTGCACAAAACGATCACTGCTTATAGACTATACATACCCCATCCTTGTGATTCAGCCAGATGGGTGGGGTAGAAAGAATAAATTATTATTAATTATTATTATTATCCACCCATTCGTGTGGAGAAGGTATGAGTACTTAAGAGATGTACAATGGCACGTGTGTGTTGGGTGGGGGAAATATGCTTTCAATGAGACTTGCTTCCACATTTCAACTAGGAATACAGTCTTTTGTTGTGATAAAGGAAGATCTATTTGCTTTCCAGATGTTACTAGACACCAAATTGTTGGGGATGATGAGAGTTGCAATCCAACAATATCTGGAGGGCAACTGGTTCCCTACCCTTGCAATAACAGCAAGTTTAGCAAAAGATTAAAATGATTATCTTGTCACTTGATGATCACTGCTGACATCCTGAGCTGATCCATAGTTTAACACAACATAGTTGGTTTCTGTTACAAGGGGAAAACAATACACAACACAGCACCAGGTAACCAGTTAGCAGTATACAACAAAAACACCTACCTTTCTCTACACATAAAACCCCCCAAACTATTGGGCATCATCTTAATCACATAGCAAATAGGCAGGGAACGCAATACCTGTTCAAAACCTCAGTGATATTCACTGTCAGTGCAATTTCATGTAATAGCAGACTCTGCTTAGCTTGCCTTGTTCCATCCATCAACATTTGAAGGATACTCAGGAGCAGTATAATATGAGACTCTGCCACGAATTGTGCTTGGCTGCTTCCATGAATGTAACTCTGAGAAATGGAGGGAAAGGGAGAGTAAGGATTAGATTAGCACAAAGCATTTTTAAAAGGATACAATTAGTAAAGATACGTGTCAACAGAATTAAAAGCAAATAAAAACCAGCCTGGCAAAAGCAGGGTACAAAGTACAAAGTAATACAGAGAGATGACAGTGGTGCATAAACACGGCTGCAGAGCTGCACCTTTCTAAATTCTTGCTTAAAGCCAAAGAACCAGCATGGGAGATAACTAAAAGGGGTAGGCTACTGCCATCACACCCTGTTGGTGGCCTTCCCAAAGGCATTTGCCTGGCTATTGTTCACAACTGAGTCTTGGACTAGATGTGCCTTTGGCCTCATCCTAGAAGGCAATTCTTAAAGCAGTGTTTGTCTGCCAATTTCCTGAGCTTTAATCAGAATTGTAGTATTGACACAGATCAAAACCCACATATTGAACAGCAGGTACTGGGAATTATTCAGCAAGCTGAATTTTTAGCCTGGCCCTTGTGTGCTACCCTCCCTGGGAGATTCCATACTTGGTTCCATTAAAAAAGCCACAAAACCATTAAAAACACACAAAAGTCTCAGAATGATGTTTCAAAATGTTGCCAGATAAGACACTGTGTAAAGGTCGAGGAGGAACTAGGCAGAGGAACAAGCCCAATTAGAAAATGGCAGGATGAAGAATTGAATTCACATATGTTGAAATACTTGTCATTCAGTGAGGCGGGAGGGGGCACTTTATTTCATTCATCCAAAAGGACAAAGGGATCCACTCATGTCAAGGGCAAGTCTATGTACAGTGGTACCTCCATTTATGAACTTAATTCGTTCTGGAAGTCCGTTCTTAACCCGAGGCATGCTTTCGCTAATGGGGCCTCCCGTTGCTGCCATGCCACTGGTGCGCAACTTCAGCTCACATCCCGGGGCAAAGTTCACTACCCGGAACACCTACTTCCGGATTAGCGGTGCTTGTAACCCGAAGTGTTTGTAAGGAGGACGGTACGTAACCCAGTACATAATCCACTGTACTGAGGGATCAGTGGCCTTCTTATGCTAAAACGTCAAATCTCTTCCAACACTTTTTCATTTCCCAGTGATGGTGACCTGCTGGTTTCCTGGACCACTAACTGACCATTTACTAGAAAGTTAATTTTCCACTTTTCATAGATAATGTCCATCCAAAGCATGCAGATTATATTAATTGTGAGGTATATGTTTATTACATATGAAATAAAATCTACTGCTGCTTTGACAGCTGCCTATGCAGATCTTCTAGACCTTTAGTCTTTAAGGCAGAAGGGGGGGGTGAGAGAAGAGCCTTTGGGTGACATGATGCTACGCTGCATGAAAAAGAAGTGTTGTGTTTGTTCTGCTGTCACTCTTAGATTTAAGTGACTGTGGTATGGATGAGGGTGCATGTAGCACAGACCTTCCTAAACTGGCACCAGCTCCCCAGGATTTCAGTCAGGGATATCTCCCAGTCCTGAAATACTGGGAATTAAACCTGGAACTGTGTGATGCAAAACAGATGCTCTAGCAGTGAGTTACAATAGGCTCACAGCATGTGACAGCGAACAGCTGGCAGAAAACTAAAGTAAAGTAGGAGCACTGATAAGAGGATGTGGGGCTGGGATACCAGCTGGCGAATAATTATTTGTAAGGATAATTTAGGAACCCAGGAGTCACTTCTAGTACAAAATTATATTGTACAGAACCAAAACTTGTAATTTATACTAAAGGGTGCAGTTGGTTTGACCAAGAGTGCCACACAAAGAAGGAAGCCTTAAGGAATGCCTATTTGGCCTATAGAAACGCTGGATTAAGCTACTTACCTCAATCTTATTTCAAAATCAAAAAAGAGTATAAAGCCCTTTTGGCCTCAAAAAAAAGGCAGTCCGAACAAAATTCCTGGTCCCTACTATTGAATGCCTCACTAAACAATGAAACTAAACTCTTTTGGCAACTGGTCTCCAACTCAATGAAAAATAGTTCCTCAGCCCCCAGCTGTGTCATTCCAGCTCAGGTTTGGGAGAACCACTTCAGAAATATATTTATGGAAAATCCAAACCTCCCTTCCAGCTTACAGGAGGATGACAGGGCAGAATTGTCACTGCTCCCTAATTGGAGGCCGGTTACTGTGGAGGAAGTCCATACATTAATTGGGAATCTGAAGAGTGGAAAGGCTCCGGGGAAAGACTTTATCCCAGCTGAGTTGATTACATCAAACCAGCACTGGTGGGCTCCGCTTCTGGCAGCACTCTTTACGGTAGTAAATAACTCGGGTAAGGTACCATATAGCTGGAAACATGCTATAGTAGTTCCAATCTTTAAGAGAGGCCACCCAAATGTACCTTCCAATTATAGGCCTATTAGCCTGCTCTCAATAATTGGGAAACTGTATGCCCATTTCCTCAGTAGCAAACTGACAACTTTTCTAAATGAACATAATATACTATCTGAAGCCCAGGCAGCTTTTCGTGAGAATCATTCAACAGACCACTGTCTAATGCTGTCCTTCCTAGCTGAGAAGTATACCAGACATCTACAGGGTAAACTCTTTGTGGCCTTTATGGACCTGAAATCAGCATTTGACTCCATCCCCAGATCCCAGCTATGGTCCAAATTGAGTCTGATTTTGCAGGACAAACGACTTCTCTTTCTTATAAAAGCCCTGTACAATGGAACCAAACTGCAGGTCCGATGCGGTCGACAGGGACAGCTATCGAACAGCATCGAGATGACTAGGGGGGTGAGACAGGGTTGTATTTTGGCCCCCACATTGTTTTGTCTATTCTTAAATGACCTAGAAGAGAACTTAATGGACCCAGATGGACACATTCCAAAAATAGGAATGAGAAGGACCCCTCTGCTGTTGTATGCTGATGACGCAGCCATCATCTCGCGTTCCAGGCCGGGCTTGAATTATCTGTTGAGGAAATTTTCTGATTACTGTTCTGGAAATGGTTTATCCATTAATTATGAAAAATCTAAAATCTTAGTCTTCGAAAGAAGATTCTCCCAGTCTAAATGGGTGCTGGATGGCCATAACCTTGAACAGGTAAAATACTTCAGTTACCTAGGGCTCACATTCCATCATACAGGATCTTGGAAGCACCATTGGCAAACCTCCCTTCAAAAGGCGGAGATTACAAAGCTAGCCATACATAGATTCTTCTTCACAAAGGGCGGCAAATATGTTCCAGCAGCCTTAAGGGTTTTCAACGCAAAGCCCGTTTCCCAACTCCTGTATGCAGCAAATGTCTGGCATAATGGGGACCTGCCAAAGCTAGATGGCTTTCAGGCAAAATTTATACGATCTCTGCTGCAGGTACCTAACTGCGTCCCCATCTCCGTACTTCTGTTGGAAGCTGGTGAATGCCCAATTTCAGCTAGAGCGTGGTGGGCTGCCCTAAGACATTGGCTCAGGATTTCAGTGTTTAATCTAGGGAAGGGTCTGTACCAACATTTGACCAATGAGGAATTTGTCAGCAAATGGCAGAAAACCATGGCTAAAAAAGCCACCTCTATTGGTCTGTCTCCCCCCCAACTGTATAACCTGGGCTATGAAGGCGCCCAAAAGGTTTTAAAGCAAAGATTATGGGACAATGCACACAGTGACTTGCGATCTCGGTCACACGCAGTCTGTAGTCCACTGGCAGCAGGAGTTCAATATGGGTATGTCTTTGAGTTAACATCTTACATCAAAAACCTGACAGTACCTAACTATCGAAGGCTTTTCACCAAGGCCAGACTGAATGTCTTCCCCTCTGCAGTGCTGGATGGTAGGTTGAGAGGAGTTCCCTACCAGGACAGACTTTGCTCGTGTGCTCAAGACATCGATTCCATAAATCATATTTTGTTACATTGTGCGAAGTATGAGCAGGCCAGGGCTGAACTGATACTACCCTTGCTGGTGCCTTTCCCGGGAAAGTCAGAGGCTCACTATGTCAGGTTCCTACTGGAAGACCGGACAAAAGCTAGAACGTTGGCAGTGGCAAAGTTTTTATCGGTGGTTGCAAGAACAAATGAGCCCTATATTCCAAACAAAGTGCTTGATTAACCTGGAGGTAGGCTGTATGAACTCTGTATTGATTTGTAATGTTTTGTTGGTCTCTGGACCGTAATAAAGATTGTTGTTGTTGTTGTTGTTGTTGTTGTAATTTATACCTCAGTTTTGGCAGGCTCCTCTAAGCACCACCACCTCCACACTAAGCTTCCTGTGTATGCAGTCCCTCTATAAGCGGAATCCCCACCCCGCGATAAATAAAAGCCTATTACAATGCTATCAAATTTCAGGATACCTGAAGGAAAGTCAACCTAAGGGATGAACATTAATGAAGCCTAAATTAAATCAAGCGCCCTACAGAAAGATAATTAGGGCATCTACATAGCCATTAACATATAGCACCAAAGTACACAGCACCTAAGATATCTGTCATGAGTTGAAAACTATATATCTCAAAATGTAAATAAACAACTCCCTAAGATGAAAAGACACACAAATTACTGCTTTTATTAATGTGAACATAGATAATGATCCCCCCCAAAAGTATATATGGAACTGGATTTGAAGAATGAAGCAGCAATACTTTTGATGATTCTTTATAGAGATGGGCCAGCTTCCAAAATCTCTATTAGTATGAATTGGAGCTGGAAAAACAAGTAACATAGGATTTCCTTTCCTGAGCACTTTGACTTTGAACTCCTAGAAAAGGATGTTCAGAGGCTGGAAGATTCAAGTTTGGTTTGGACTTGCGTTTCTCTCTCCCCCCCCCACCTTTTCTTTGCAAACCTCTTGAATTAGAATCTGAGCCAAGTTTGGATAAACTCTTATGCTATCCCTAGTACTGCATTTGCTATACATTTGGGGCAGTTTCAAGCAATGATGAGCTGGGAGTAGTTAGTGCAACTGTTCCTGGGCTTGCAGCCAGGGGGAAGTGCATCCAGAAGCAGTGGTGATTTCAAAATGTCTTGCATATGCTCTAAAATTTATCCTTAGGAACCCTCCTT